GATTGCAGGCCACGAATCGCACCAGTCTTTCGGTCTCGCAGATTGCGTCCAAACAGATCACACAGTCGTGTCTGCAGTCCTCAGCAGTCATTGTGGCGAACGTCAGACTCTGTGAGGGAATCAGTGGGTCAGTGAAGCCATCGTATGGTATCAGCTCTTTGGAGGTGTCCGACGTGACCACCGATGGCTCACTTGTGGCTGATTTCAGTGACATTAGTGTGAATCGACCGCAAGTGTGCACACAATTCACTGCTATTTCTTCAGCAAAAAGGACTCACTTTTCATACAAAGAGTTAAAGTGATAGTCAAGTGATAGTCAAATGAAAGGCAATACTAACGCATAATAATTGACTCAATATTTGCACCAAAAGTCTACTAAAGAGTTGACAAATAATTTCTTTTTTATGACTAATCAATGCCTCAATGTTTGCAAACTATTGAACAGTTTTTGAAACTTTTTATTTATTAAATCAAATGAACAAATATAAGAAAATACATATTTTAGTGATAATTAGTACATTGAAAGTGAAGGCACGGTATTTGTAGTCACATTGAAGACTCCGGAGGTATAGGAGGCTTGGGGTGGGGGTTATAGGAGGTTAGCATTCATGCGGTTATTGTGTAAGATTTGAATTGAATTTTGTGAATCGTTTCACGAATAAAAGGTTTAATATTACTGTTCAATAAGTTAGTAAAGGTTTGTCAGTACAAGTGATTACTAATTGAAAATAGCATCCGGATTACAAAATGTATTTATAGTTCATATGACCCAATTACTAGATGATCGAGGTAGTGTCAGGGTCGTATATTGCACGTATGACTCATAATATGCAAATAGAGTTCAATAAACGGATCATAAAGTCTGTGACAAACTATTAAGCGGTTTATCGGAGTTTGTTTGCATGCAATTGAGTGGTTTGTGTAAATGAGGGGCACATTAGGGGGAGTCATAGCACTCGTAATACATGTACGGTATGTGTGTATGTGTTGACTGCAGACAACGTTATAATATGTGATGAAATACTTGATTAATGTTTAATTGCTTTTGATTTGCATTTTATAGACATTTAAATGACATTCAGTTTCATTCAATTGATTTGATCGCATGTATTGACCGCTGATTGAGCGCACATTCACTCAACTATTCACTGAATGGTAAGTCTTATGACAAGTGAGGAGTAGTTAATGTGGTATTTAATTGAACCCATAATTGATTGCCAATTGAATTGATTATGAAAGCGATGGCCGACCAAGAAGTGAATGAAGGAGTGGGCGATGGGGACCAGATGGACGCCAACCCACCGGCCTCTGGATCTAAGTACTGACCACTGATTGGCGCCAATGGTTCTAAATATGACTAAAAAGTCTGTGATCTGTTCCAACAGTTCCAACGGTTCCAACGGCCCACCTCAGGCTCAGTCGCCAACACACGGTGTCCTCCATATACACGAGGACTCCATTGACTACGATATGCGACACAAGAACTTCGGTAAATGTATTATTTTGAACCACGAGTTCTTCAAACGCAGTGATGTCTGTCCGCCGATTCGCCAACACACGGTGTCCTCCATATACACGAGGACTCCATTGACTACGATATGCGACACAAGAACTTCGGTAAATGTATTATTTTGAACCACGAGTTCTTCAAACGCAGTGATGTCTGTCCGCCGAGGAAAGGCAGTTCAGCCGACGCTAACGCACTCTTCCAGTGCTTCACATCCATTGGATTTGATGTCCGCATGAAGAACGACTTGGACTGTCAGCAGCTGTTCCAATACGTGTCCGGAGGTATTGTCAAAGTAGTCGTCTGTTGAGTAGATTTACTGTAAAAGTCTGTCTGACTTGTGATGTCTGTGTGTCTGTAGTGTCCAAAGAGGACCACTCGGACAACGACTGCTTCGTGTGTTGTATACTAACCCATGGCGTGAATGACAATCTTTGGGCTTTCGATCAAATGTATTCATTTGAAAGTATCATCAGTTTCTTTACGGGCGATAACTGCAAGTCTTTGGCCGCCAAACCAAAGATCTTCATAATCCAGGTATTGAGTGGTACTTTGAATTGAATATTGTGTCACAAAAAGCCATTAATTGAATGATCATTGAATGGCAGGCCTGTCGCGGCAGCACATACGACGACGGCGTTGAGATAATGGTGCCGAACGACGTGTGCGACAGTGGGAACGGCTGTAAGTTAGTGAAGATCCCGGTCTACGCGGACTTTCTCATCGCTTACTCGACATTCTCGGGGTATAGACAGTGAGTGACAGATATGAGTGACAATTGTCTTTAATGTGTGGACCCATTGGTTCCGAAGGCTGTACTCGTGGCGCAACACAACTGACGGCAGTTGGTTTGTCAACCACTTCACCGATATTGTCAATCAGTACCACAAACGCCTCGATTTGTTGTCGATGTTGACGATAATCAACCAGAAGGTGGCCTACAATTGCTCGTCAAAGACCAAAGAGGAGGCCGACAACGGCAAGTTTGTCCAGCCTACACAGTGAGTGTGTGAGTGGTCTTCTTATAAGGAGTGCGGATTTCTAGTGTCGTCAGCTTCGTGAATGGAGACTGAGACACAAAGTAATAGAGCAAAAAACAAAGTGAAAAAAAGCTCAAATTCATGCTTTCAATGAATTCAATGCTATTTTTTATATGAATTTTTTATTTTCTCAAAGTTTTATTAGAAAATTAAATGCTAATAATTATGACTGAAATTCATTTAAATTAATTTATAAATAGGTTTAATGAATGAATGGTTAGTTATTTAATTTTGATCTTCTTCTTGGATTTGTTGAGATGTTGAGGAATGGGTCCCAACTTAAAGATTGTGTGACACGTCGAGCATATGGGACTGAATGAGCAGAATATGGACAGACAGACGGAGCAAACAAATCCGGTGTCAATGATATTGCGGTGACAGAAACAGGCAGCCGAATGGGACACCTTCTGGCGCTCGGGTAACACCAGTTTGGTTCGCGTCTCGGCGTCCGGTAAGAGACACCAAAGCAAGTACTCGAGGAATGAGGAGATGTTAGGCACCCGAAGGTATGTGCCGTTAAACAGGTCGGATGTGTCACTCACACACTCACCAGAAGAATATTCCTCACGCCTAAAGATCACAGCAGTCGAAGCACTTACCTCTGACTCTGTGTTTCATTATCTCGTTTTTTGTTTCACTTTTTTTTGCTCAAATTCATGCGTTCAATGAATTCAATGCTATTTTTTATATGAATTTTTATTTTCTCAAAGTTTTATTAGAAAATTAAATGCTAATAATTATGACTGAAATTCATTTAAATTAATTTATAAATAGGTTTAATGAATGAATGGTTAGTTATTTAGTTTTGATCTTCTTTTTGGATTTGTTGAGATGTTGAGGAATGGGTCCCAACTTGAAGATTGTGTGACACGTCGAGCATATGGGACTGAATGAGCAGAATATGGACAGACAGACGGAGCAAACAAATCCGGTGTCAATGATATTGCGGTGACAGAAACAGGCGGCCGAATGGGACACCTTCTGGCGCTCGGGTAACACCAGTTTGGTTCGCGTCTCGGCGTCCGGTAAGAGACACCAAAGCAAGTACTCGAGGAATGAGGAGATGTTAGGCACCCGAAGGTATGTGCCGTTGCCGAATGGGACACCTTCTGGCGCTCGGGTAACACCAGTTTGGTTCGCGTCTCGGCGTCCGGTAAGAGACACCAAAGCAAGTACTCGAGGAATGAGGAGATGTTAGGCACCCGAAGGTATGTGCCGTCCGTGAGGTCGCATCCCTGTTGGAGCAGAGAAGTGGTCGCACCATAGCTGTCATCGCCAGCAATACACGCGTCCACACAAACACCCATCTTCTGGGCCGCGAAGAAGCAGTTCATGAAATTCATGTATTGGGACGCATAGGAAGTGCTCTGATCTGAAGTGCAGCTCATAATCACAATACGAGAGCACTTGTGGTCCTCTTTGAACCGCTGTATACGACACAAAGCCATAGCAATGGCGCCACTCATGAGTGGGGAACTGCTGTTCGCGTCGCTCTCTGTCTGTGATAATTGTTTGGCGTTTTGTGACATTGTCTTGAGATTGCTTTTGACGGTCCGCACCACTCGATGAAACGCTTCGTACTGACCCTCGTTTGACATCCTCTTGCTGTCCATCAGCTTTTGGTTCAATTCGCTCAATGGGTATAAGACTTTGTTTTCGTAACTATTGGTTCCGATGATCGTTAAGTTGTTCAGTGAAGACATCAAGAGGTGAGAGTTGGCGTACGATATCAATGCGTCCAACCATTGGTAATATAGGGCCGAATCCGCCAGAAGACGGCTATTACTACTCATGTCAACGATGACCACCATATGAGTGCCCTTTGTGTTGATATTCATCATTTGACGGATCAATGTCTTTGTCGGTGAGCCACAAGTCTGTCACTCAA